CTTCAGGGGAGGATGAGGTCCGCCCTGAGTACCTTAGGTTTTCTGGATGTCATTGTCAGGCTGTGATTCATAGGCTTCTTCAATATCATGTTCAGTTCATATTTTTATTTCGGTTCGTATCATGCGGTGGGAAGGGACAATACCTCTGGACTCACAGACTGGTAGTTCCCACCATAAGGAGATAGGCTGGAGGGTGTGTTCCAACTAAAGGGATCACACTTCTCAGTGACCTCAGGAAGGCCTATGTCAGAGTGCTGGAGAGGAGAGTCTGGGTGAATGTGGAAACTCAGCTTCAGGAGGAGCAGTGTGGTTTTTGTCCCAGTTGTGGAACACTGGACCAGGTGCACACACCCCTTCAGGATGCTCAAGGGTTCATGGGAGTTTGCCCAATTGATCCAAATGTGCTTCAAGGAGAAAGCAGTCAGTCATGTCCCTCATGATGCCCTGTTGGGGGCACCCCATGAGTATAGAGATGATGGCCCTTTACAACAGCCAGTATTTATACGAGCAGAGATGGACTCTGGTCTGCATTGCTGACATTAAGTCGGACGTATTTGCAGTGCATGCTGGACTCCATTAGCCCTGCCCTCTGACAGCAGTCCTGTTAATAACCTTTATGGACTACATTTCTAGGCGCAGCCCAGGGTTGGAGGATTTGGTATGGCTTAGAGACCAGCAGATTTCATCTCTGAAATTTACGCATTACCTGGCTCTACTGGCTACTCCAACTTCCCTTTTCAAGTCGGAGTTGAGTTCCTGCCTCAAGTGAACAAGTTCAAGTATCTTAATGTCTGAGTGAGAGGAAAATGGGGCAGGAGTTCTTTTTCATGCTCCTCGGGGTCTCTTTGGAAGAGCTGAATGCAAATGCTGTTTCCTTTAAGGCACTTGAAATTTGAATCCAAAAATACAATAATAAAGGTTCAGTGAAACTATTTACAAACAATGCCATCACAATGTGTCCACAACCCTGGAACTTATTCACATATTTTCACTGGAACTATCATAAGGTTTAATGCATTTTAATGAGATTATATCTTGTAGCCAGACACAAAATAGGGCATGTTAGGAAGGTTAAAAAAAACATGATTCATGGCTTATTTTTATTATAAAAATAAAAATCTAAAAAGTGGGACGTGCATTTTTATTCAAAGTTGATGGGAAGATAAATAGAGGGTAATCCTTGAAGAAAACCTGCCAAAGGCTGGGGTGGAAGAAACAAACCCTAGACATACACCCAGGGTTGCAAGATAATGGTTTAGATACCCTTTGGGTATTTTTGCAAAGATAACAGAAGCATTTCAGTTTCTATGTATAAAAAACAAGTATTCATCATCTAAAACACTTTAAATCATGTATTCATAAAAAACAATATTGAACATAAATGCATGCAACACTTTTTATTTGTAAAAAGATTTTGAGGGCTAGCTATCATTTTATTTCCCCTTCACAACAATGTCCTACTTTGTGTTGACTAATTATCTAATTATCAAATAAAATGTAGATAAATTCCAGTAGTTAGTGAGGTTTGTAGGTGCAAAAGTCCAAGCGGCACATACACTTCTGTGGGGCCTTGTTAAAAAAACAACCAAAATAAAGTAGCATTGTATACATTTTCTAGACAAAGAGTCTGGGTCAGACCTTTAGATCAGGCAAAAACCTCCCCCTGCCAAGATATTCGCCGTTTTCGAGAGAATACAGCAGACATGACATTAGTTGTCAAGCGTGGCGAAAAAAACAGGTTCCCCGAACGTGGTGCGCCCTTTGTTTTAGTGGCTCATTATATTCAGTGGAAATGCTGCCAAAAACATGGCGGTTCATTTGGAAGGACTGGTTTGCTTCTCTCAGACTATGCAGGCAGGTGTTAGAGTGGTGGAGAAAGAGCAATGGTGTGAGAAGATGGAGCAATTTTACCTATCCTCCTTTTTTTTTTCTCTTAAAAAACAGGTATTCGCAGCAGAAAATACAATAAAGTGTACAACAGAATGAGAATTAGCCTTTACTTGTTGCTCTTTCACAGAAAACGCTACAATTTCTCCCATAATGAACTGTCATTTTTAAAAATAATCAATTTTTTTCTGGACCTTTGTTCTCCTTTAGCTTTCTCTGAATGCTCTCGTCTACCGATTTATTACTAAATAAATACAGCAAATCATGAGCAAGAGGTTACATCAATGAAGCCTGAATCAAAGATATGAAGGAATTCTGTAAACAAAGGATTATGCATGCATCAACACACCTCTCTTATTACTAATATGACAATAAATGAGTATTTTCAAATGAAAGAAGGAAGTCGGCATTAAAAACAACCCGACAAAATGATGGAGAAACAAATCTTGATATGATTACTGTAGAATAACAACCTCTGGCAGAAACGCATGCCAAAGACAGACAGAGAGAGCGAGGACGCAACGTCTCACCGGTCTCATGTTCGCAGCGATTACAGACAAAGCTGAAGGAGGCAAGCGAAGAAGTAATGCTCCTGAGAACTCGGGGGTTACCATGGAAACATCGGCTTTTGAATGAAGTCGCTGGATAAGGGGGAATGCAAGAGAGTTTGAATTATTGCAGCATCAACAACACAAACCAATGTTTCTCTATACTTGAGACCACCAGGAAAATGAACAACTGCCTGCAGTTCAAGCAGAGCCATCATTAGCTATCTTAGCCTCAAAGGACAGACCACTTCTAACAATTTGGTTTAGACATGTTGTTCTCACCTACAGGGCTTTAAATGGCCAGGCTTATTATCATTTGTGTTGGCTTTTTGCCAAAGTCTGCTGTTTGTAGCCTTCGATCCCCAAACTCTAAACCCTAAAAGCTTTGGATCTCTTATAAAAAGAGACAATTATCCCCTTCAATCTTACTTCCCTGGAATTTTAGGCATCTTTTAAAACAACCATGTTCTACCAGACTTTTACTTTTTCAATTCTACTGCTTTTAATCCTTGTTTTTTAATACTTTATACGACTGAAATGTTAGTTATGTGGCACACCGTTTGTGACTTTGGGATTTTAACTCACTTAAATTGATTTCACATTGCTATATACAATACTAAAAGGAGAAAAAAAACAAAAAAGAACCTGACCTTTCTTTAAAAGTCAGGAGTTTACACAACATTGTCAATGCCTTTCAACAATCTATGAAAGCGCAGACGATTGGTTAAATCATGTCATGATTTAAATCAGTGCACCATTTTCTATGTACTCTGAGGCAACTCTAAGTAAAACAACTTTTGATAATCCATGGGTACAATTTGCAGAAGATAGGTCTCTCAAAATGCAATCTATGTACAAACCCTAGAAAAAGCAAAAGACAAACCCCAGGGTTTAAAATCCCAGGGCTTTCAATGGAAAAAAGAGATAACATGAGCTCAACAGCCATTCAGGAAGCTCCAAGCAACTACTCCAAAACTGGTAGCACCTTCTCTTAGGACAGAACCCTTAGAGTATAGAATATGGTTTGTCATTCAATGAAATTAAAATTGAAATTTTTTGGCAATATGAGGACTATTAAGACACTGAACACCATCCCATGTGAGATGGGAGCACTATATTTTGTGGGAGCTTTGCTGTGAATGGGACTATGGAAGGACATTAGGCAGAAATATTGAAGTAACATCTCCAGACATTAACGAGGAATAAAAGAAAGTGTATTTTCAGTGCATAGTTTACACTAGGGGTGGAACGGTTCACAAAATCCACGGTTCGGTTCGGTTCAGAGTTTTGTGGTCACGGTTTTCGGTTCGGTTCGGTATATGTTGATTGTTACACTGGAAAAAAAATCGAAATCTAGATAAGTTGTTTTTTCTTAAAATAAGTGTATTTGTTCTTGGATTTAGTAGGTAAAAGAGAGATTTTGCCAATGGAACAAGACAATTTACACTTACAATAAGAAAACAATTGCATTGTCTTATTTCAGGTGCATTTTATCTAATTTTCTTATTTTAAGAGCAAAAATACTCATTCCACTGGCAAACTATCTCATTTACCTACTCAAATTAAAGGTAAATACACTTATTTACGACATTTCTACTTGTTTTTAGATCCTTTTTCCACCCCGAAATCTCATAAAAATTAATGAAAAAATCCAAAAAATTTCATGAATTGTAATTATTTTTAATGATCCACGGAAACCCTGGATCATTTCCGAATGTTTTGCTGCTTTGAATTTAATCATCTCGCGCATGCCCTCTACGATCTCCAAGGAACTCAGAGCGGAGCGCATGGGAGCCACAGCGGAGGCTGTAGGCTTTGCTTTGTGCAGGCAGTCTGTAGCGCAGCGGGGCAGAGCGCTGACGGAGTATGTGGGATTTCGGGGTTAGCATGACATGTTGGTCGTGTTGCTGTTAGCATAAACAAAACGTGTTGCACAATGCTTGCACACTGTTGCACTTTTATCCACAACTTTCTTTCCGCCGTCTTCGTAGGTCACTCTAAATGCAAAGTGGTTCCATACAGCAGACCTATGAAGTGCTGCTGGCACGTCTTCCAACTCCTGTTCTTTCCCACTCGCCATACCCACACAATTCTCCACAAAAACTGATTTTTTTTCTGCTACGCCCGGCTACGCTGCTTCGCTTCTTCTTCTTGTTCACTACTGGTGGTTGGCTTTGGTCGCAGTACCGCCACTTTCTGCTCTGGAGTGTAAACGCTTCGCCTATGAGAAAAAGGAGCAGCGCATGAAATGAACGCAACACACGCGAACCGAACCAAGACAGTCGAACCGAAGGGTTTGGACGGTTTTCATAAATCGTTCCATCCCTAGTTTACACACAAATCATGCTTTTAGATTTCTCTTAACTGTGTTCGGATATTTCCTTGGATACTAGTGAATGTAACTGTTTCATAGTCTGAATATAAATTATCCTGGGAATAAAAATAATTTTCTTCAAAGACCGACTGCCAAAATCAATCCGTTACTTTGCAGTCAGGCAGCAGTCTTCCCAATAAACAGTATATTACCGCCAGAGAAGGTTAGCAGAACAATAAGCCATTACTTACTCTTCGTATTTAATGTGGTAAGCTATGTCCTCTTCCTTCTCCTTGGTTTCTGTGGTAGAGTCAGTCTTAGAGGTGGAGGCTCCGTTACTTTCAGAGTTTAACACAGGGTTATTCCTGTTACAGTCCGTGATTTGACCCTGTCCAAGGGCCTGAGCCTGGTCAGCCTCCAGCTTCCCATTAGTCCTTTTAGGAGGCCGACCCACCTTTCCCTTGGTGGGCGTTATCTGTCCTTTAGGAGAAACTGTCACATTTTCAATGCATGCCTCAAACCAGGCTCCGATGCTTACGTCCCTGCAGTCTACCAGCTCGTTAATCTGAAGAGGGAAACAAAAAAAAGCAAAAAAGTTAATGGTCTGGGCCGTACTGTGCGCTGTATCCAAAAAAAGCTGGTCTGCACTTCATATTAATTACCATAAAACATGCGCGTACTTTTAGAGATATTACACTACTGATTAATGCACAAACTAAAATGTATTTTTGTTTGTCTTAAACTTATTCTCATACTTTACATCTAAGGACCACAGAGTTTTCAATAGACTGGCTCAACCACTGCTCTAAGCTAGATGAGACTGTAAACATTACTGACTTCATTTCTAAACACTGTAAAAGTTTACCAATGTGAGGTAAAGAACTGACCTTATACAGGCCAATCCCTGGGTTGATTAATGTGCTCCTGCTGGATGTTGGTGGCTGAGTGTCCTGTGCTGGACTGGAGGACCTGAACCCATTTTTGGTACTAGTAGCGACAGTTTCTGGCTTAGATTCATTTACAGTGGCGTGGCTGCTTTCTTTCTTATTGTCCATACAAGATGAGGTTTCCAAATCTGCGGGGGAGATTGGAGCTTGAAAATTTTCATTCTTCAAGTCAGGCAGAGGAGCTGAACTGCTTGCAACACCTGAGGGGTCCTTGGTGGTAGGGCCATCCGGGGGATCGGTCTGAGAGCGGATTAGCAGCTGGACAATGTCATTGAGACCCACGTTGTAGTCAAAAAGTGTCAGACCATCTTCCATCTAAAAGAAAGCATAGGAAACATTATAGTCATTTATGTAAATACATTACGATTAATTTGTTTTGACTAATTTAATGATCCAACATTTAGGCTAAAAAAAAAAGAAAAAGTGATGCTGTTGATATCTAAATAATCCCATAAACTTCCAATTTCAGGAACTGTTTGGTGTCCTTAATCTAATGTGCAAATCCTGACCAAGCCTAAAAACAACCATCAGGGGCTGACAATTACACTTGGAGCTACCAACAAGGCTATTTCTGAAGACCTGACATAAAAAAACTCCTCAATGATGGAGAAGGAGAAGTGCACCATCATTGTCCTTGGCAGGTTACATTTTTTCAGCTGCCACAGGAAGTACATCCCTGTTGGGCTTTCTTGGTAAGGGGCTTGATGTTCAGCTCCCACTTTAGGTCCTGTGAGATGATAGCTCCCAGGAAGCAGACATACTCCACAGTGTCAATTGTGGAATCACAAAGAGTGATCATAATAGGGGAGGCTGAGTTCGTCCTAGAGTCCACAACCATCTCCACTGTTTTTAAAGCGTTAAGGTCCAGGTTGTTCTCCCTGCACCAGGTGGTAGGCGGACTTATCACCATCAGAGATAAGTCGGATGAGAGTAAATATCTGCATCTTATCAAGTATCTTCTGGCATTTTAATTTTCAGTTCATATATTTTGTCCAGTCTCTAATGGAAGGCACTCTGCTTGTCAAGTCATGAAAAATAATCAGGTTGATTAAAGGGACAGTTTGTAACCAAATTGGCTTTTTATTAGCTAAAGTCAAACTTACTTTAATAAATACAAATTTTGTAAAAATCTAATAGCATCAAGTCAAAAATGAAGAAATCTATGCATTCTCATGGCTTATAGTTAGTTTATAAATACATAGGCATTTCACCAACTCGGAGATGCCATTATTAACCACCCGCCAGCAGCCAAAATAATTTTTGCCTGCGAGTGGCCTAGCCTCGATCAATGTCCCAGGCCCTAGAACTGGCACAAAATACAGAGATGCGTTATGAATTCCTGGATGCAAAGCGGGCAGGGTTTTGAGGGCGTGATGACAAAGCTGCGCGACGCTTGAGAAAGCACAAGGAAGATGGCAACAACTATTGAACAGTTCTCGTTTGACTCAGCTTTGGAATCAGTTTTGGAAGGATTAGACTTTGGGTTTTCGTTTAAATGTGAGCAGGAAGAGGCTCTACACTCATCCATAAGAAGGACATATTCGCCATTTTACTGACAGGCTGTTCGTTTACACTCCCCCACCAGCTTTCTGTCACACTTACTACATCACAGTCAGTTGCGCTCATTTGTCAGAGCGTTGGCCAATAGGCACTGACATGGCTTAAAAGACAACGGGTTGTTCTCATCAACAATCTTCCGATGTCTCATTCATCGGGGCCAGACTAAATTACTCATTTGATCTCACATTTAGACTGGTTTATCAGTCTATGGGCCTACTACTTTTAAACAGCCTTATAAAATTGTTATGCTACTATTATGATATTTACACAGATTTGACCCTATCCATATTTTAGTTTTGGATTTTTCAACTAATGCTCCTTGTTTGTTTGTTTGTTTCTTTGTTTCTTTGTTTGTTTGTTTGTTTCTTTCTTTCTTTCTTCCTGCATTTGCTCTCTACTCTGACTTCATCTCCAGCTGCAACACGTTTTTACTTCAGTTTCTTTAAAATCTGCCTCAAAACATTGAGCCACAAACACGACAAATAGGAAATGTCACTTAAGGGCAGATATGGGCAATTTTTGTCCCCAGTTGGTACATGATTGAAAAGCTAATTTTTTTTTATAATAATGAATTGGGAAGCAATTGGGAAGCAAAGAAAAAAAATCTGAGATGGGGTATGCTATTCCACTATATCAAGCTAAGAAGATGAAGACACACATGCCTTTGTCTGTGTACACGAGTGGGGTTTGGGCTGCTGAACATAATTCTATGTTAACATCCGTTATCTTGTCGTGGAAAAGTGTTTGTCGACATTCAGGTAGAGAATGTCGACATTCAGGTAGAGAATGTCGACATTCAGGTAGAGAATGTCGACAGGGCCAAAGTCTGCCCAGCATGAAAAGAAAGGATGAGCTTTTAACGACCAGCAGCTCTACTGCTTCCCTGTTTGTGTTTTTCTCAACTGTCCCACAGAAAACAGATTGCTGCTGCTGCAGTCTATGGGTTTCTTCTCGGTTGAAAAAAAAATAAATAAATAAAAAGCCCAGATACGCACGCATGAATTACATTGATGGGATGTGTAGCTGGGGGGACAGAGATGACTTGGTTGCTATGACGACCAAAAAAAAAAAAAAAAAGAGCACCCCACATTCACGATCACACACACGCACTCAGCTTCACCCGCCACCCCACGTTAAGTCGGACTATATGCAATTCCAAAATCCAAAACAACACAATCAACATGACCCTTCAGGGCGGATCCAGAGGATTCAGCTGCGCTCTCAGTACAGCTGCTGCTTCTGAGATGTGTCGTACACTAGAAAACATCAACTCACCGAAAATATCAGCAACCTATTTTAACCAGTTAAAACCATTGTGCCGGGGAGACAGACATGGCTGCCATCCTCGCTCACCCTCCCCAACGCCCTTCTTCGTTGTTTGACAATGGGGAAGGCAGAGGTTGTAGGTGAAGGAGGAAAACATAATTTCCTCATCCTTCTTGGTTTTTAATAATCTCATGAAATTTAGATCAGAGGAGCGGTCCGTGCAAACAGAGTCAAACACTTATATGCACCCGTGTGTCCCTCTTCATCGTGGTCTGCCTCAGCCTTCCATTGTCTGCCTCTGACTTTGTCCAACCTCTTACTTTTAGGGTGGTAATAACATTTTCTCTCAGTATAAGCTTTAAGAGAAGTCAGTAAACAAAACAAATTGAGAGCATCCTGAGCAGATAATGAGCCCGCTGGCAGAACCTGCCGCAGAGAGACGGGTTCGCCGTTGATGAGAATGTGTTATTCTGATGGAGACTCGCACAGACAGAATCTCACAACAGCACACGGCAGAATTGCACTGCACCAAATACAAATGGCTGAGCTGATTTTGGTTGTTTTTTTTCTATTGTCACATGTGCTCTCCACAGCGGCTTCATTTCCAACAGCGTTATCAGGCTCCTGCTGCAAGGTGTTTTGATTCCAGTCTCTTTGGAATCACTAAAAACGGAGAGATGTTGGGAGGAATTGTGCACATGGAAACAGACGAAGTTGCTGTCAGAAACAGAACATTTTCAGGCCCTGTTTACAGCTTAATTCAAAAAGCATGATGCCCCTGCTACCTGCAAACGTGTAGCATTGAAGGTTCATTTCAAACAACTGGGAAAAAAATGCTTCTAAAATTTAAAATAAAATAAATTTTCCCCCACAGTGGGAACAATTTGAAGACTGAACACCTATCAAAGCAGAGACCAGATGAAACCAAGTATAAAAAGATGACCTTATAACCTTTGAGCCATTCCATGTTCATCATGTAACTTCAACTGGTTCTTTGGATTGTAAAGTTTGTGACAAATCAAAGTGATTTCCTTCAAAAACATCCAGTATATAACTGCCTTGACAATTCACTTTGTCCTTTATATAATATAGAAAAGAACGAGACAAGAGTTGAAAGAAATCCTGTTAGCAGCTTCCTACAAGCCCTGTAGGGAACACAAAGATGACAGCATCATGCTGTAAGAATGATTTTATTCTGCACGGACAGGGAGGCTGGTCAAAGGAGTTGAACAAAGGGCGATCCTGGACAAAAATCTGTTCGAGGTGGTGAAGGACCACAATGGAATGGGCTAGAGGAAAGCATAAACAGTAACACGGATGGAACTGCTCAAGTAAAAGGTCTAGACCTAAGACAAGACATGAAGACTTGGTGCAATATCAGCTTCCAGCAAAGCTTCAGGTGTGAAAGTAATACCAAATCGACAAGCATGAGTAATCAGAAAGAAAACTGCAGAAACTCCCGCTCAATTACTTCTGGACTCCGCCCCACATGCTTGTTGGAAAGGAGTTGCGCAAAATAGGTCATATTACCGAAAAGAAAAAACAATGACATAGGAGCGGGAGTGGGGGGTGGGGTTCTGTGCGCCTGTTCTCTGCTAGTCTCCAGCTTTGGGCCTTTATCCCTTATCCTGCCATCAGTCATTTAATCTCTAAGAAAAACCCAACAAATAGAAACTAGTTAAGGTGGAAGAACACTGGCTTTCCTCTGCAGCCTCTTTTTCATTGATATTTCTAATGAACTCCGTGTGTTAGTTTTAACATCTGTGCTGGTTTTCTACATAAAATCAGTTTTTAATAAGCTAATTTAGCAATTGGGGAATCTCTTTTAAAGAAACCAAATGTTCTTTCTGTAGTTTTAAACATGTTATTACAGCTTTCCTGGTTAGATCGGACTAATAATCTGCCATTTGTCTTTTATTTCATTTTCTTGATGTTCTATTAAAGACTAATTGTTAGTGGCTAAGGTTTTAGCTTCTCTAATTGCCCAACGGAGAAACTGAGCCATCTCTATGGCTCAGAAACGGAGCTATGCAGATGATCAGAGCAAAACCTAAAGAAAAAAGCCTTAACTGAAACTGATCATTCGTACTGCTGTAGGATTAGCGGATGATTACAAGGTGGGTCATTTAGGACAGCCTACATGTTAGGAGTTGCCAAACTGCAGCCACATTTAAAAGTGGTTGAAAGGCCTGCAGTTGCCGCCTGGGGTTCAGGGCCTTCCATTGTTTTCTGCCCTTTGTCCGGTCTATCTATCTATCAGGGAAGGGAGTGGATCGTGTACATGCATGGCTGCAGCCAACTTCACTTTTTTTTTCCCCCTTGGTAATTCAGCAACACAGCAATAACTTTCAGAAATCCAAGTCAAATGAAGAGCCACAACAACATCGATCCCATGGATAATCAAATTAGAACAATATCTAGGTCAGAGCCGTCCTCTGTTTGCAAGACGGACAGCAGCAGTCACCAGTTGGAAAAAACCCAACTATATCAACAACCAATAAGAAACTGCTTTTAAAGAAAAGTAAGTGGACTACAGTGTTTTACATAAATCACACGGACAACATGAGCTGAGCTTTGAACTGTAAGGCAAAGCGTTTTTTTTTAAATTAGCAAATATGCAGGCTTGTTGCAAAAGTGTGTGGGCGCTGAGCTGAAAGGCCGCGTGGCCAGTGGAAAATGTGTGTGAGGCTGCGAGTACAAGTGAAAGATCTTTCAAAGTGAAACATGCACATCAAGTAGGGTTCGGGCAAAACTACAAGACAGACAAAGTACAAATAAATAAATAAATAAATAAATAAATAAAAATGAAAAAGAAGACAAAACAGTAAGCCAAAGAAAAGTGGCTCCTGGCTCAGGCCGCTCCCGACAGAAATGCAAGCATGACTTTGAAGCGATGAGGCAGCGAGAGCATAGGGTGCTAGAGGGGAAAACAAGACGCCATTTTGAAAAGAGAATTAGACCGAGTTGCTGAGCTACGAGCCTAAACCCTAACAGACCTCAGATATCAGAGTGCCTGTGAGCACAGCAGCTCATTCCATACATTACTTAACACGTGGAAATCCCCTAATCAAGGTCGCCTGCTAGTTTTCCATCAAAACAGAGGGAAGTGTTGGATGCAAAACCCAACATGGGCTCTTAATCTACTATAGCAATCAGAACCAACTTTAAGTTAACAAATTAATAATCTTATTGGATTTTTTATATAGCATGAAGAAGTAGTCTTGCGTACTTACTAACCACAAGCAAAGCAGACATGTTCTTAAATAAATAAAAAATACATATATATATATATTTTTTTAACAATTTGAAACCAACTGTGTGCTTTTCTTAGTTGAGCCAAACAGACTACACAGATTCACATAGCTAAAACCAAACCATCTGGACATATGAACGAGGTACAGAGTACTTCCTGCCCAAAATCCTCTGCCTGACATACATCAACAGGTGAAGATGATTGAATATTAGCAAAAGGCAGATCGACACACCATAGAGAGCAGTCTTCCCGGCAGCTTTGCTGCTTGGCTAACTCAGCAGCCATGAGATCAATCCATATGAAGACATATTTAGACATTTGGACCCATGCAGTTAAAGCATGGAGCCCATGTGTAGCACAGTCAATTCAATAAGTTTAACTTTGTCCTTTTATGAACACAATTTCATAGTGAACGTCTCAACATACTTTACAAGACAAACAGGCCGACTTCACAGACAGTTCTTTAAAATTACTTTAAATTATATTATATTTGTATAGATCCTACTCTTTCCAACGAGATCCACATTGTCCAACTGATTTAAGTCAGCTGATGAAATAATGTTCAATTCAGTGCTATCTATCAGCAGTCATTCAGAGCAAGCATGTGGAGACAGTAAAAAGGAACAATTCCCATTTTAAAAGGAAGAAACCTCTTTTTAAACTAGGCGTGGTTAAAACGATACCCTGCTGCTTTATAGCTCCACACTACAGACTGCATGCATTGCAATTTTATGCAAGCAGCCTACAGCTCTTATTCTCTTTGAATATAAGAGATATGTTCAAATCGTTCCAGTTTGAGAAAGGAAACGTACTACAATAGTTTTAGAGTAGGAAGTAAGAATACTAAAAGATTAGGCTCTGACCTTTAGCCTAGAAGCTAAAGCAATCAAAGACGTCTTGATGAGACGATGTGGGTTTTTTTTCCTAACGTGTTTTAAGATGCAAAGAGAAATCAGCAAGTGACCAAACATTGGCCAATATTCGTCTTGATCAGCCGATGGATACATTTATAAGGAGGTGATAAATTGTATGGAATGCACAGTACTTAAGTAATATCAGGCTAGAGTCCCGACAGCATTCTTCAACATTATAAAGGGAAACTGTATTTATTTATATCCTGTGAAATGTCTGAATTGTTTAGGCTGTGAGAAAGCAAGAGAGAGCAAGACTTCAAATTATAACACAAAAGTTGAATGGGGGAACTTTTTTAAACCATCTTAAATTAAACGTTTATGCTCGTTGGAAAGTACTATCTGTGCTACATTAAAACTGGCTCTGGCAAAAAAAAGGGAGCTAATGAATTCTACATGAATTTTGCTTTGAATCAAAACAGAAGTAAAACTCTCGATTCCTGTATCATTGCTCTCTACGTTCATATATAGGGTTGGGCATCAAGAATCGATAATCACTCAGAACCAGTTTTAACTTTTCAATTTTCCCAGAATCATTCGATGTTTTTATTTTCAATTCCATGTTTGATGACAAGTCCGTCAACTGTAAATAGAAGCTGCCCAATATCAGTGAAGAAGAATACACAGGAGTGTGTGAGCAACCATCTGTTTGTGCTGTGGGATTTGAAATTGTGGCTTTAAGTTGAATAAATAAATGACCAGCAACACTGGAGATGGGATTATATGCATTATATGGGCGCACGGCCAACATAATTAAACACCACCTAACACGTCATTGATCCGCTGCACCGGTGTTGCAAAGTAGGTTACCTGATGGAATTTGTTCCTCCTCTAAGTTCATAGGGAGAATGCAGGGAGAATGGAGCTTTTTTTATACTTTCTTCCTCTTTACACTTCAACAAACACCTGCCTTGCTTCCTAATAACACGAAAAGCACTTTAATCTTGATCTGCCAGACTTGTAAATAATTTTAACCATAACTTCATTGAGTGTTTATGTTAGTTAAATCGGGATCTGTTTCATATGATAAACCTCACAAATGCACGATGAAGTCAACGAAGAAATCCTATGTAACATTACTACAACATTGAAGCTCCTAAAATAAGCCAGAAACTCATGGCTGGTGAATCTCATATGTTAATTTAAGCAACATTTTGAAACAATCAAGATATATTTATCCTAAAAACAGAGGTGAATTTAAGAAAAAAAAAACAGTGTCAATTGATGAAAGACTTTTATAAGGCATTAATAGGTAACGCTGAAGAGATTACTACTAAGAACTACAAAAACTACATATTTATTCCAAGGGAAGAAATACAGCGGCAATGAACCACAGTAATAAATGTTAACAATAATTTGATAACTATATGCTTTCTGCAAAAATATTTTAGAACATATTGTGTGTATTATAGCCCCCATTTTTGGCTATAAATCAAAACCCCACAAACACCAATGACACTAAAAATAAAAATTACCCATTATCAAATAGCCTATTTCCTAACACTAGTTACATTAAAGTTTGTAAATGTTCTTCTATTTAGGCCAAAACATTAGACTTCATTTTTTTCCCATTATATTGGTGCTATTGTGGAACAAAAAATAGTTTAAATGACTAAAAGTGACGATCCTAGCATTGCTAAGGATTAAGTCAAACTTTTTATAATAGTATTTAATAACACTAACCAAAAATGATGATCCCTATTATCAGTTGCTTATCTGAATTTAGTAGGTATAATCAATTTAACTAAATAAGATCTTTTTTCCTTAGATTTATTATTCTCATTTTGTAGAATTCTCTAAAAAGCGATCCCAGTCTGAACTGATTCACTCAATATGTTTGAGCAAATAATTGACTAAAATAACATTGTCTATGACATACTTTATATTTAATTGTTTTTGCTCTTTTCCAGACATACCACACACACAAAACTTGGAGAGTCTAAAATGAGTTAATAACTTTCTAGCTTCCCTACTCATATTTTGTGTAAACAAACATTAATATTTAATTTCTAGTGGTTAATGTAAAATAAGGTGAAGACATTAAATTCCTCTTTATGTGCTGTGTTTAATCTATATAATAGTAGTTCATTTATACTGAACTGTTTATTAATTACATAACACTATTAATTATATGAATAATTCTTATTAATAATTGTCCTTAAATGTGTCATTTCAGTATGAAAATATGCATTTAACTTTAGCTGAACTTGGTGAACAGCAATGCAGCATGGGAACAGGTTTCTTTACTCAGACACAGTGTACATTGTGCACATGGTGGTGACGCTATGGTGTAAACAAATACAATAGCTTCAAGGCACGTGTGGGCTACAGTGTAATCTACCGCGTTAAATAATAATAAAGACTTTCTAAAGAACAGCATGGAGGGGGGAGCATTATTACATTGGTATAAATGTGAATCAAAAATCGGAAATAATTAGAGCATAGATCTGATTTAGTTAGAAGTGATAACAGTGAGATGCATGGTTTTGCACTGTACTAGCGGGACCAACATGTGGAAACAAAGTGCTGTGCTCCTCTTCCTCTGTAGTGGCAATGTAAACAAATATGTCCACGGTGGTAAGGCACAGAAAGCTTAACCCCAATTTTCCCCATACAGATGCAAACGGTGCTTTTTAGTTAGATCTATTGGCGGACTTGTATCAAAACAGGAAGCTCAAAAAGGGTCCGAAACAACTAGAGCTCAGGGGAGGAGGACCGTTGAAGTCTAGCCCCCCTCCCTCCTCTCTGTCAAAATCGTCCAAACTAGCCGCTGCGTGACGGCTCAGACAAGCAGACGTGGGTTTACCTGCTTCCCTCTGTAGAAGAGGCGCTGCTGCTGGGGGCTCACGTTGAAAATGTCCTGGATTTTCAACCGTAAAGTCTCAATTTTGGTCAGTCTGGAAAGATCCTCAACGGTTCGCGTCTCCTTCCCGTCTATCGTGCGAACCTGGATCCACATCGTCGCGAGGCGCCCCTTGTCAGGCCTTCAATAAACTACGGATACAAAAAAAAAAAAAAAACGCCGTTGTTGGTACGAAACGTGGTAATGGGCTCAAATGAGACGGGGATAAACCATTTTTGGAGCTCCGCTGCGTTTTCCTCTGCAGAGGTAACGTCGGGCTGGATCTCGCGCAGGAGGTGCCTTATTACATGAGCTCGCGGCGCCAAGCAAATCTCGCGAAGTAACGTTCTGCGCGCTGTTAAAGACACAGCCCTCTATTTCCCTGTGTGCATGCTTCAGGCACACGCACAAACATCAGTAATAATACAATAATACCTCATAAGCAACATTTTTTTTTACTATTATGGTGTGTCATCAATTAGCAGTCACACTTAAGCCCCTAAAGTTTTATTATCATTAATGTCATTATTTTTATTTCCGCCAAGGTGGTTTTTATTAACCCTTTATAGGGCACTCAGTGAAATACTTTGAAAATCTAATTTTCACTTTAAAAATGTCTTAAATTGAGTATATTTACCCTTAATTCGAGCAGGTAAATGAGATAGTTTGCCAATGGAGAGAATATTTTTACTCTTAAAAGAAGATAATTAGATAATTAATAATTATTTTAAATGTAAATTGTCTTATTCCAGTGGCAAGATGTCTCTATGATAGAGACATTTTGCCAATGGAATAAGTGGCGGTTCTAGATCAAATGTACTCATGGGACAGGAGGGGGGCAGTGTGTTTTCATGGGGGCACAGAAAAGCATGAAATAAAAAAAACAGGGCCAGGGATTCAAATATATTAAGAAAGCAACATGAAGTGAAATTTTTATTCAATAGGTTTAATTAAAATTCTATGCCTTAATAGGTCAATATGCATTCATAATTTAGGAATTTAACATATTTTTGACATAATTTAAAGTAAAATTGCAGTTTTCTATAAAATCTGAATTAGAACTCAAGAAAAACTAAAAATTTGAGCAAATTGTTTTGAAAAAAACATTTAGCAGAAAAAAACTGAGATCCTATCTCAATACCAGTGAAGTTATCGCCTTATTGCTTTTAAATAATTAGAAAAAACTGAATTTGTAAAGAAAAAAATTAAATAGATTCAAAGGACCTATCACTGAGGGAGGTCTAGAAGCATACCCCTCCATTTTTGAGGGGTATGCAAGCGATCAAAAATGGTAACCTGGCCTATAAAGGCTTAAGAGTCTTTCTGTCCGTCTTTGTATAAGATAACTTTTTTTTTTTTTGTTATTTAAATTTTATTGAGTGCATTAGAAAAATGTTATACATCCATCACATTCATTTCCTATGTAGACTTAACATAGCCAAATTAAATTCACAGCAGTCCATGCTTGAGCTAGGTGACAATTATACTCTTTGTAATTTTAAAATGTAATCCTATCTCACATTCCTTCATGATGAAAAGAAAAAATCCCTTCACCTCTTCCTTATTTGTAGATATATATACTAATTCCCACTCCCATAGAAATACACATACATTTTTCTTTGAAAAAACAAACATAAAAAAAAAACACCCAACAAAAAGAGACCAAAACTATAGAACGCTATAAATGTGTGGCGCAAAGAGGTTCTCTAATCAAGTCTGATCTCACTGGTGATACAAATTTCACCCAGTTTTCCCAATGTTTCTTAAACTTGCCAGATTTTAATCTAAAAGAAGAAGTTAGCCTTTCCATTATATCAATATTATGCATTACTTCAACCCAATCTTCCCTTGTTGGAGCCTCTGTTTTCAGCCAATTCCTTTTATAGCTTTCTTGCTGGCTACCAACATGATCCTGAAAATATATTTATCCTCTGAGGTTGTCAGATTATCTTCCCATGTATAAAGTGTTGAATGTTAGAGGAAGTTTCACTTTCAGGATTTTATCCATACATTCCTTCAAGTCCTGCCAGTATGTAGCAATACTAACACAACCCCTCTTTGTTTAAGATAACTTTATGGACGGATTTTAATGCCATTTTATCAGAGGTCTCCCTCGTGCCAATGAACACTCCATTAAATGTTGCTGATCTGTATCCAAATCAGAATCTGGATGCAGGGTTCTGTAACATTGTGAGATGAATGTTTGGCAGAACAAGCCGTTCCTCACTAAAGAGGGTGGCAGTGACACCTGTCCAGGGATGTATGGGTAAAGTTTATTTAAATTTGTCCACAGTTTTAGTTCTTGTACATGGGTAATCTCCGTATTCCACATTTTCACCACACCCAAAATAGTAATTAAAGAGGTAAATATCTGTAATCTTTATAAGAATAATGTAGTATAACTTACAGTGGAGCAGTTTGTTGCACTGGTGCAGTACCAGTTTGAATTCCTGGCCTGGGGTCTTTCTGCATGGAGTCTGCATGTTCTCCCCGTGCATGCATGGATCCTTTCTGGGTACTCTGGCTTCCTCCCACAGTCATAAAAAAAAACATGACAATTAGGTAATTGCCATCAGAATAGAATAGAATAGAATAGAAATTCCCTTTATTGTCCCACAATGGGGAAATTCTGGTGTTTACAGAAACAAAATGATTATAGAAAAAATGGTCAAACAAATATGGACCTTAGAAAAGTGTATAAGAATAACATAATACTGAAGATTTAAAAAATAAACAAATAAACTACCGTACTGTAAAGTGTTTTAACAATATGAATACTGTGCACCTGGATAATAAATAACCAATATACAGTTATGGACATTTTTACAGTAAAGGATATTTAAAAGAGTGGCAACATCAGAGATGTGCAAAAAGGACAGCAGCATGTTATTTAACTGACTAAGACAGAAACTGTGCAAAATCAGAATTAATGTAACAACTTATTTAGGTTGTTGGGAACAGTGGTGGTTATAAAGTCTAACAACTCCTGGGAGGAAGGATCTGTGATAATGCTCCCTGGTGCATTTAGGGTGCAGCAATCAGTCACTGAAGGAGCTCTTCAGTTCTGTAAAAGCTTCATGCATGAAGTGGGAGACATTATCCAACAGAGATGTTATTTTAATTAGGATCCTTTTGTTTCCCACCTCCTACACTGAGTCCAGAGTGCATCCAATCACTTCCTGATCAGCTTATCCCGCCGCTTTCTCTCAGATACAGATAAGCCACCGCTTCAACAGACAGCTCCTTAGAAGATGGCTAATGCCACAACAGAGTCACGTCTATAGACATGTCATTTATTAATTCTATGGACAACCCTTTATAAAACGTTCTACTACAAGACGTTTTTATTACTATTATCATGTGGAGTTTTAAGGAGCTGTAATTTTGACAAATCAGTGATGCAGATGTAACTCATCTTCACATCAACACAAATGTACAACCGCAGCATGGATCGCTGCTGCTAGAGATGCAGAAACAATTATATCTTCATTTTCTTTTTAACATCACTAACAAATGAAGCACATTATAAAGTCCAGATAATGTGCCCTAATCAAATCTGTTCTCGCCATGTAAAACAAACAGAAGGTCTTTAGAATTTTTTTTCCCCATGCAAATAATATGTAAATGTATATATGAAATATGAACTTGATCAGTATGATCTCTGTAATTATCTAAAACATTCAATTTAAAGATACCAAAAATTTTTGCAATAAATTTTTACAAATTACAAACTACTGACTTCTTATACTACTAGTAGTTAAACGTTTTTTTAAACGACCTCTTAGTTACACTTAAAGTTAAAGAATTAAAGTAAAACAAGGGCTAAAGGTGGTATAATTTGTTATTCGACATCTTTCAAAGCTGGAGACCTGCTAAATGTTTCATGTAATCTTACTATCAGTACAACATCATTTTACTACAACTCACACATGATAGAAGTGTTTATATAAACTAGGTATAATATATATATATATATATTTATACATATTTTTTATACACTAATGTAGAATTAACTTTTTTAAGTAAGTATATACATAGACCTAATGTATTTTCCAAGACTGCTTTATTGATAATGATGAACGTCTCTGTTTTATTATATAATTAGTGTGTACAGTATATAATTAGTACTTAGTGTGATGGACCCATTGAACCACTGCAGATTTACCAAGAGGTTTGAAAAAACATACTCATGCAAGAACATAGACATCCCCTCGTTGATTATTCATATTATATTTTACATTTGAGTAGTCTAAACAGAAACAGAATAAACAAATCGTTTTTAAATTAAATTATAACTTGAGAGGCAACTCAAAGGGGTCATTTTACCCAATTTAACCAGTGGGACATGCGTTGATCAGAAACGACATCTAGTGGTTTAATTCAGTATTGGAATAAGTTGGAGAAAAGGTGAAAACGTTTTTTTTTTTTTTTTTTTTTCAGGGTTAAAACTAGAAAAATAAGATATTACATTAGATAGTAATTTCATAAATTTTAGAATAAATTGATCATTTAGAAAATACAATATGTAATATAGACAATATAGAGAAAAAGATGTATTTTCGTTATTTATTTTATTCTGAGAAAAATATCAATCTTAACGAGAAGGTAAAATAAGCTGAATAAAATATCGAGCTTTTCAATTTTTTTTTTTTTTTTTTTTTTCTTTTTTTTGTCCATAAAAAAACTTTCACGTCGGGTCAGATTTGTTGTTTTCGTTACTTTTTAAAATATTTTTACTTAGAGTCTCCCATTTCTATATTTCTTAATTACTAATGTATGAAAAATTTTCAAAAACCCAAAGTAAAGTTAGTTTCCTGCATAATAAAAACAAATTGGTGTGACGCTGGAACCACATAGCGACGTCAGAGTGAACTCATTAGCATCGGATGGACGTAAAGCGTTTTTTGAGACTGGACGCTTCAGTAATATTCTACACAATTTCCACAGGTTCTCTGAACGCGGCACTTGTTGCAAAACTTAATCAAAAGTCAACCGAGAGATTATTAAGCAGCGGTAAACTTGACATATTTTAGTTAGCTTTATATTTAGTAAAAATGTAATGTGGATTCTCAGACAATCAGCTACTGTTACTTCGGCTAACGCGTTATTAGCTTTCCCGGTTGCCACTGACATCATTTGTTGCGATGACGACACCGAGAAGGCTGCGTAACTTTCTACTTGTCGGACTTAAATGTGCTTAAATAACATTTACTATGGATGGTGAGCGGAGCAATTGCAGGCCTCAACTGAGAGACAATAGTCGGCTAACCTAGCTAGCAGACTTGCCGTGGCTGCTAAGCTTGCTAACCTGATCTGCTG